TATTTTCTTGTGGAGAGCAATACTTAACTCATTGCCTTCCTTAGACAATTTGGTAAAAAGGGGAATTACACAAGAAATAACATGCCCGAATTGTCATATGGCCGATGAAACCTTAATGCATCTTTTATTTTACTGCCCTCATGTGGAACCAATATGGTTTGGTTCAGCCTTGGGACTTAATCCTAGGCAACTGAGGGTGAGCTGCTTTAGTGAATGGTGGAAATACATCACTGGTACTGCTAAGCAAATGGGAATACTGTCTCTAGTTGAACAATGTGCTATTATATGTTGGCATATATGGAAGGCAAGAAATGAGCAATTTTTTGAACATGTTGTCCTAAATCCCCACCAAATCCTTGCTTGTATTTCTGCTATGACCCAAGAATGCTCCTCTCTCTTGCACACACAGTTGCTGGTTTCCCCTTCTAGATCACAAGAACAGGGCAAACAACAGCAACCATCTTGGGTCAAACCTTCTATGGGCTTCCTCAAAGTCAATGTGGACGCTTCTTATTCCTCCCAAACAGGTTTTGCAGCTTTTTCCATGGTAGCTCGCAACTTTAAAGGTGAAATATGTTTCGACAATTCATGGCTCTCAGTAGCACTTTCACCTCTTATGGTAGAGGCTACCGCTCTATACAAAGCTGTGTAATATGTGGAAAGCCTGGGAACTCACAATGTATTTTTTGAATCAGACAATCAGGCCTTAATTGCTCACCTTTTGCAACCTAACAAACCCCTCCCATGGGAGATTAGGTCACTCATTTTATCCATCAAACAAATTGCTCACCGCCACTAGGATTTTTTATTTTCATATGTACCAAGGAGGGGTAACAAGGTCGCTGATTGGGTGGCAAAACAATCACTTAAAGGGCAATGCCACTTTTTTTGGGCACATAGGCCTCCCAATGTAATGATCTCATTACTGCTACAAGATGGTCTCTGTAAATAATGTACATTATTTTGAAATAGTATATAATTACCTTTTCCTCAAAAAAAAAAAATTGGTAAGGATCTGTTTTGTTCAGCCCCCCCTTTTTCACTAATTACTAGTACTTCTGTTCTTCCCTGTTTTTTTCTCTCTTGTTTTCCTTAGTTAAACAATGGCATTACGAAGATGGTGCCTAATTATGGAGTGTTTGAATTAATTATTCAGATATAATTAATAATTAGTATTTAATAGTTAATAGTTATAATTTTTTATAATTTAAAATGTTTAATTTATTATATTAAAATCAACAACTGATAACTATTTATAAACAGTCAAAATAAACATCACTGATTATTAATGTCAATAGTAGATTGAAAAGAGTTTAGAACAATGATGGGGTTTCCAATTAAAGAAGTATGTGACTAATTGTATATCTTCAAGAGTTCATCTTCTTTTTAGTGTTGTAATGATGTTAAAACTAATCTAGGCTTTGTTCCTCTTCATTTGTGCTTCGGACGTTCTATTTGTTTTCAAGATAGATTGTAAGTCCTTAATATATGGATCAGCAATTATCTCACTCTTCCTATAGATGTAGTGTGACTTTTTTAATCTATCATACTTAAATTATTAAGTTGAAAAAAATAAAAATAAAAACCACACACACAACAACAATACTTAGGATTATCAACCCTAATAAAATATTTCAACGATTAAGAATTTGAAATTTCAAATTGAAATCTTAAATTCGAGTCTTACGTTGGGTGAGAAAGGATTTGGTAATAAGGGAATAATATCTTTTCTTGTATAGTTTATAATGAGATGTATCAAAAATAAAATAAAACTCAAGACTATCAAATATGATGGTACACCTTTTTTTTTTATTGTTGGGTAATGAAACGGGGCGAAAGCCCAAAATATGATAATACAGATCATATAAATCTAAAACGATGCCGGATGCCCCACACACTAGGTATGGGCTCTTAAGTCTCAAATTGAGCTTAACCTGAATATCCCGGTTGGATCTATTTTAGGGCCCCAATTAGACAGTCCAGAGAACATGATCACATCCTTGAAAAATTTACCAAGGCTGAACTCGGTAAGGATGAATACTTAACTAGCATTTGACAAAGTTAATAAATAAATAAATAATAAAGAGAAAAAAAAGGGAAGCATGAGTGCCTGGACCACTGGCCATGGTCCATTCTAGAGGGTTCAGAACCAAACACAGTATGAATTATCACCATCCTATTCACACATGTACACATTCGATTACACCCGCAGCTTTAGTTGCATTGATCTAGGTGCACTAAACTTTTAGCGAATACCAGACTTCTAACCACTGCACTAGCAGCCTTTTTATCCCCCTTTTCCCCAATTGCCCTTGTTCAAAAAAAAAAAAAAAGTACACATTTGCTTTAGACTTTAGCCTTTTACCTTGTAACAAGCTATCAATTTTTTTGTTCCCCCCCCCCCCCCCCCCCTTGATATGTCTCATTTTATATAACCTAAGAGCTGTCATTAATTAATATTTTGACAAATCAACTATGTTCCTTTAGTGATGCCCAACTTCCTTTTTTTATAGTGCATGTTCGAACTCTCATCAATAAGTGAAAATGCCCTTTACATTTAAAGATTTTGCCAATGAACCTAAAGTCCTTTAACGATGCCCCGACTTTTTTGGTTCTTTTTTTCATTTCTAAGGAACAAGGCAAGTGGACTCAATAATTCGAGCATGTGGAGGAAGGGAAAGCACGGTTTTATGAGAATGTGAGAGCAATTTGACATATAAAAGTATTAAGTCAAATTACATGTAAAAAATTAAATTAAGACAACTTAAGTTAAATCAAACAAAGTACACATGTTAGGGCTCAAACTTAAAGTTTCAAGACTTTTTTCTTACCAATGTGTGGAGACTTTATTGTTAAAAAAATGAACTACATAATTTAATTTCCTCTTTTTTTTTATTGTACAAAAAAATGTAACTTTCTTTTATATCTTAACTCATTTTACTCATATATTAAACGATTCAAATTTGGAATTATTTACTATACTTTAATCAAAATCAAAAGGAGATTACCATTTTGGCCATTCATGATTTAATTTATCTTTTTATAATTAAATATGAGAGTTTATGATTAGGAAGTAGGAACTTCCTGGTTTGCTAGCTAGACTCCAATATAAAAACCACATTATTTAACTATACTTGATGGGTAGAAAATCCATTACCATTACTAAAATGAAGGGACCACCTTATCCCCAAATCCCACCAAAGGTCTTGTATAATTAAGTTCAATGATTAAAGGGTTCCGTCATTTATCAAATTAATTAGCTAGAACGAATTAATGAAGTTGCTTGCCAAAACTGTGTGAAGCAAAAACTAAGACTAAAAACCTTCCCTAATTTACATCCCTTCGGGACAGCTGCCCCACCCCAAAGTTAGGCCAAAAAAACATGTCCTTAATTAAAACAAAGTAGTTTTCCTGAGAAGCATCATTACCAATCAAATCCCCAACAACATCATTTTTCTTGACCAGTTTTTGTTCCTTAAAATCATCGTCTTTTATCTTGATATTATTGCATCGAGTCCTAACCTTTTTTCTTTTGTCCAAAAAATCTCTTTTTTCTTTGGTAATATCTTTAAAAAAATCTTGATTTATGGATTCTTTCGGTTCTTTTTTCATTCAGAATGATTGATTCCTCCATCATTATACCTAGCATCAAATTTACAATTAACACACTGTTGAGGTCAAGCTTTTTATTAAATCATAGTACAATTAATTGAACATTTTGAACGTGATTTCCAATAAAGGAGCTTAGTTAATTTTGATGAAAGTAAAAATATCTCTACCCTTATTTATTTTGCCTTGCAAATGAAGCTAAACATCTAATAATGCAAGCAGTAACAGAACATATATATGCTTCCTTCATCAGCAGACTTCCTTACCATAAACGTGTGAAAATGATTGAGTTACAATAATTTTTTCTCACTATTTTGCTATAATGTAATATAATATTAAACAAATGATTATGTGAATGACTTTTTTTATTTGTTAATATATAAATTATTTTATATTCACTCATTTAATATTAGATAATGTACTGAATCATTGTTGCTTTTGCATTGTTTCTATCTCACCAAAAAGACAAGTGATTTACCGCTTCATCTGCTGCGGGACTCGGGGTCGGGGGGGGGGGGGCTGGGGCACAGCCAATAAAGTTGATTGAGCGAGTTTTTTAACAGCAAAAAGAGACACATCATTATTAAGGCATTTTCACAGCAAAAAGGCCGATGAAAAAATGAAGGAAATGAAAATTTACACCAAACAATGACCACGCTCCATAAATTTTATGCCCTTCCATTTATGTTTCAACCATAGCTAACTGTTTAATGGAAACCTCCATATATAGATTTCTCCCACCTACTCCGTAGACCTCATCTTAATTTCGTCTTTATTTGGATATTCTCTACACGAAACATTAAGAGCTAGGGCCCTCGATGCTGTCCATCTATAACTCTCAATAATATTTAGTAGTGGAGATCAATCACTCAAGACTAAGGAGAGGACTAATATATACTTTCTTGAATGACCAAAAATCTATTTCAATATATCAACGTAAACACTATTTTCTTTTTCTAGATTAAAAAAGGTATTTATATTTACAAACTATCTCGTTCGTAGGTTAATTTACTTTTAAGGGTTGCAAAGGCATGACCTATTAAAATTTGTTTACATCTAAATAATGTTGAAAGAATTTGAACGTGCATTTTTAGAATAATATATAATCACACCTTATTACTTGAGCTAATTATAATAGTTTGCATATAGTGACTTCGGTTTTTTATCAATTATTTTTGAATATATTATAATATTGCTTATTATTTTTCTTCTTATTCTGTTAATGCACATATAGTCTCTTAAAAGATGTCTTAGTAATTAAGATTTAAAGTTTTTATGTTGAAAATTTTAAGTTTGAGTTATTGGATGAGCAGAGAGGGATTTGGAAAGAATTGTTTTCTATTGTATAACTCATCATTTAATAGATAAAAAAAAATTCTAATTCACATATACATGACTTTTGCTTCCCATAATCATCCTCAAACTCAACATGTAAATTAATAACCCTAATTTGATTTAAGAAGTGTTAAGCCAATATGATGTACATCAAAATAGATCTCTGCTTGATTTTATGATTTTATCAAAGAGGCACTTGCTTTTTTTCAAAACTTAAAGATATTTTAAATATTAGAAAGAAGTGTTTCTTTTTAATAAATTTTTTAAATTTGTGAAAAAAAAATATTTAGAAGTAAATATGTTGAACAATATACTTTACCAAAGTAGCCGGCAAAGCACCGAGTCCTTCAAGCCACTTTGTAAAGGAAAGTGCACTTTTCCTTAACCCCTTTGATTGTATTGAATTATGCCACTTTGAACTTACACAGTTACCCCATTGTAGTGAATTCTCATTGAATATTTAAAGACGCAATGATAGGTGTTTGAAATCCATATTTGTCTTTAATAGAAGTCTCTACCTCTTCTCCATAAATTTTAAATAAAAATATTTAATAAATGTACTTTTTTAATAAATTTGATAATGAGCTAACTTAAAGTTTAAATCTATGATTTTAAATTGAAATTTTAAGTTCTTAATTAAGTGAGCAACTCATTAAGATTTAATTAATGTTTTTAAAAAATAAGTAACCAACTAAAGATATTAAAATTGCACCTGAGGTGCATTTCC